TTTTTGGCTGCCATGTGGCTATTTTGCCAGGATATGAGTTGTATCAATGGTGTCCCGCTTTACCAATGTTAAAATCTGGTCACCTTAGTTCAGGGGCCTGGTGTGACCTTGGTTCACAGGTGCTGTTACTTTGGGCCACCTCATTAGGCACTGCCTCCTTGCAAAGTCAGATTTTATGCGCTTTAAAAAATCCATTTGAATGAAAAAGCTTGAATAACTGGGCTAGCCCCAGGATCGAGCTAATTAATACCATCTTTCAAGCAAATGGGGACTTTGGAGAGTGGGCAGACCCTTTGAAAAGGCGTCTTTTGAGAGTGTTACATGTAAGTCACCCCAGTAAAACTGGGGGCGGGGGGTGGGTGGGGGGAGGAACCAGGAAGAAAACAACTGAGCATAAGAGGAAGCCTTCTTCCTGCAGATAAGCCCCCCCCCTCCCAGAAGCATAGTTATCGGTGGGTCCTCAATCAGAGGATTCTCAGACTCAATGAGTTTCACCTCTAATCTAAGGAGAAAGGAGTCATTAGATATTAAGGCAATAGCAGGCAGCCTGCTATCTGAACAAGGAATCCTTCCCACTGAATCCCCCCACCCACCCTAGAATAATTAAATTGCTTGATGGACTATTAAAACGTGTTCTATTAACTGGAATTGCCATAGCTTAAGCAAGTGCCCTTCTGGAACCAACCAAGGCGACCCAGACCAAAGGCAAGGAGCTACTGGGTTCAGACAGATTATACCATGAAACAAAATCTCCCTTGGTGTCGTTACCAAATTCATGTGTGACTCATCTGCCAATATGACTGTGGGGTTTCCTTCTTCCCGAGACCCTGAACCCTAAGAGTCTCTAGGCTAGCCAAGGGAATGAAGCCCATGCTCCAAGTGGGGCCAAGGATCATTTTCCTGGAATGCCCCTAACCTGCTTGTTCATCAAGGGCCTTATTTCCAGTGTTTACCTACCTGTATTTCAAAAAAAGCACAAAGGAGCAGTGCTATCTATTATCTACCACAATGTATAATCAGCAAGGGGCTTTTAAAGCCATCCACCTCACGGAGGTAGTAGTGATGGCACTGTTGACACCATTTTCTGCACACCACTCAGTGTACAGGGCGAGGCTTGATGTGTCGTGACAATGACCAACCAGGTCATGACATGACCTTGTCCCAGGCACCTGACACCAACACAGGGCACCACACACCCTAGCACATTGGCCTTTACTCATTTGTGTCTTATGATAAGGGATTCTGGATATCCCAGGGGTTACATGAAGATAAATATCATGCACCTTCCTCTGTCTATGCCCTTTGTATTCATCTTATAGAGAGGGTCTGAGATAGTTAGTTCATTGTGCCAACCTGGGCGATAAACACGTGTGGGGTTAATTGAAGGGCGGAGAGATAAATGGCTTGGTGAGCCTCGCCTTTCTAGTTCTCGGGTCTCTTGCTTTGTGATGGTTGGACCAGGGTGCAGCAGCCTTAGCAGTTCCCTGCTTCAGCTGGCAAGGCTGACTTCCTGCAAGACATCCCTAAGGAGAAGCCGCATGGACCTACCCCCATGCAACCCTGGGTGCTGGAGCTGACTCAGCTTTCCTCCTGCAGTCGGCACCATTGTGTCTGTTTTGTGAGGTGGAGGCTGACTTTGTGGGTTGGTGTCAGACATATGGGTAAATGTTGGACTTGTGGGCTTGGGCAGCACTGGGTTGGGATGTTTTCTTGATGTGCACTTACCCTTTATATAAAACTCTCTCTTATACATGAGTTTCTGTGTATTTGTTTCTCTAAAGTACCCAGATTAATGCAGGGTCACAATGAATCAAGATCAACTCAATGGCAGTGAATTTTGGTCTATATTTGTTAAGCAAGCAGTAGGTTTACACATTACACAGTCAGTCAATAAAGCACTCTAAGTACTTGTACGTGCTTTACAAAAAAAAAAAAAGTATAACAAAGGAAAAATGTCCAACATGGCAATAAAGCCTTTAAGTGTAAACATGCCTAAACGTGTATTAAGGAGACCTGGGGGCACAGTGGGCTCCTGCCCACAGGCAGCAGTTGCCAGCCACCAGCTGCTCCTTGGGAGGAAGATTAAGCCGTCTGCTCAGTAAAAATGTCCAGCCTTGGACACCCTAGGGGGCAGTTCTACTCTGTCCTGTGGGGCTTCTGCGATTTGGAATCAATTTGATGGCACAGGGTTTAAACATTTATTTGAAATGACTTTTGTAAAAATATTAGGCCTTTCCGAGTATTTGGAAACCCTGTAACAATCAACAACAACACACACATGAACATCAATACACTTAAAACAAAGTACGGTGCAAATATAGGAGCTTTATGGATTTAAAGTGGTTTCTGTATTTTTTTTGTTGTTGTTAGAAAATACATTATATATTTCTTCAAGCTTTAATATAAATATTTCAACAAAATCAATAAAAATCAAAAGTCACATTTTTTAGGTATAGAAACGATTGAATTCTTAGTGTTTATGTTGAATATTCATTTGAATAACCTTAGATGTGGTTTCTGTATTCTGTTGATTCTCATCCATAACTGTCTTTAGTTTTTATTTCTGTTTATTCCAGGAATTGCTATCCTTGCTTCCCAGAATTAGTCACAAAAATATCACAAAGTGGGTGCCTTAAAGAGCAAGAATACACTGTCTGATAGTGCTGGAAACCAGAGTTAAACACAGGGTCTCACCCCGTTGATGCCTTCCGAGAGACCAAGTGTCTCCTCTCTCCCAGCGTTGAGAGACTCTCTTGGCATGGCGTTCTTTAGCTGCAGCTGCAGCAGCCTCTGTTGTGACCTAGTCATTCTAGCCCTGTCTTTCTGTCTTTCATCAGACACCTGTCTTGTCCCTGTCTCTATTCTAAGACACCGCATCAGTGGGATTAGGGCCCCCACCCTACTCTGGAGTGACCTCATGTTCACAGGTAACCTCTTGAAGAAGTTGTTTCCAAACAGGGTCACATGGAAAGGTCTCAGGGTTAAGGTTTCAGCAGAGCTTTGGGAGGGACACAACTCGATGCAGAATGAGTGCTTTGCGAAGGCCTGGAGAATTTTGTAAAAAGTTATTGCAACAAGGTCTACAATCCAATTATTGTCGGGATTGAGAGATGGTTGGTTGAGAGATCGCATCTGGTTGCTCGGTCCGTGGTGGTTCCAGGCTCCTGTCACCTGGCTCAGTCCAGTCCCCACCTGAAGTCCTTTAGTTGTGCCGAAGGGCTCTGACATTCCTATCCATCAGGTAGATTATCATTTGAGACGTGGTGTCTTCCTCGGGAATGAAATAGGAAGTTTTGTACATCTACCAGTTCCTGATTCATTGTACCATCATGTTGATTTATTGAATCTGTCTGTTCATGTTATTAAGAACTTATGTGGTCCCTATTATTATTTTATTCTAATTAGTCGGGCCACTTAGAGGTTTCGTCTCCTAGGAGATGAGATGGCGCCTGTGTAATTAGCTCTCTTCTTTGGGACAGCTGGCTAATTTATCATTTTGGAACACCCTGCTGTGTTCCCTTTCCACCTGTTGATCATGGGTACTGGCCATTCATCCTAAACTTGGCACTGGGACCCTGTGTCTTATCTTTTCTGTTTGACTTACACCAATAGAAACAAACATAGCCCATGCCTCAAACTATGATTCCAGCCGAATTGTCTTCCCCTAACTTCAGCGGCTGACGTGCCATCTCTGTAATTCTTGTGCAAGTTGGATATCACCTATTATTAACAAAACTTGACATAACTTTAAATCTACTTACCTAGTCTGTGGTTCTTACTGTTTACAGCCCACAAGCTGGCCTCCAACTCATGGCCACCCCATGTTCAAGGGAATGAAACACAGACTGCCCTGAAATCATCTCATGATCGGACTAGGGTGACCCATGGTGTTATCAATGGCTGATTGTTTGAAACGAGGCCACCAGGCCTTTCTTCCTAGTCTGTTTTAGGCTGGAAATGCCACTGAAACTTGTCCTGTGCCATAGCAACTCAGGCCTATTGACCAGGAATCGAGCCCAGAAGTCCTTCTGGAATTAAGAATTCTACTGCGGAACTACTGCCATGTCCTCAGAGACTATTACAGCCATACAAGCACACATGTGGCCTGTCTGTTATTGTTCACTTAGCATTCTTGCTAAAAGCATGGCACAGCTATTGAAATAAGGAGGCTCTCCTCATTCCCCTACGTTCCCCCACCTTGCAGACTAGGGCAGGTAACCATGGGAAGAACCCAACATTATAAAAGGATATTATAAAACCTTCCATTTTATAGGCACAGGGAAGTCTTGAGACCCAGGGCCTCAGAAAGACCTGTATGCATTCCATTGGTACTTAATGTGGTGCAGGGCCTCTGCCGTCCCTCAACACTCATCTGGGCCCTGGACATCCAGGGCATGGGAGGCTGCTTCCAGCTTTTATTGGATGACCAGAAAAGATTTCCTGAGGAGGAACCGGGAGCATGCAGGGCACAGATCTGGGGGGCAAAGAGCCCAGAAAAAGGAGGGGACCCCCAAATTCCCACCTGAGTGGGAAAGGACCTTCGTGCACAAGAGATGCAGCTAGACCTGATTTGGAGACAGGGCCTCGTGGGGGCATGATCAGCTCACCAAGGAGCAGACCACGGAGCAGCATACAAAGTGTGGGCTTCCTTTCAGATGGGACAGGGGGTCCTCGTCATAAGGTGTTAAGCAGAAAAATGCTGTGACCCAATCCCCCAGACTGTGGGACAGGAAATGACTCTCTGGGGAAACTAGTCAGTCTTTCAGGTTGACCCCCAACCGAGATTCCCCTAGGAGGTGGTGAGAAGCGATTATGTTTGGGATAGAGCTCGAAGCCCAAGTTTTGGGGAACCACTGTTGAATGACAAGGTATCGGTTCTGTCCTGAGCAAACAGCTGGCTCCTGGTGTGGGGCACGAAGGGAAGGGGCCTTTGAAGCAGGAGGCGCTGAGCTGAAGTACCCTGCATGCATGCGTGACCTCGGCTCTTTCTCTCTTCACAGTGATCCCGAAGGTCACCAAGCACCTGCTCTCTAACCCCGTGTTCACGTGCATCATCCTGGCTGCCTGCATGGAGATTGCAGTGGTGGCCGGCTTCGCTGCCTTCTTGGGGAAGTACCTGGAGCAGCAGTTTAACCTCACCACCTCTTCTGCCAACCAGCTACTCGGTGAGTCACTTCCTCATCCTCCTGAGAAGGCAGTGGGAGGCTGGCGTGCACAGCATCTCTCAGGATCACTGAGTCTGCCTCATCAGTTTACACCTGGTCCCGACACAGAAGGAATTCCGTATTGCATGCCCAAGCTGTTTTTTTTCCAAGTGAAGCAAGTACAAACAGCCCACAATAATAAAGAGTCAAAATACAGCGCACACATAGGAAACCATGCAGAGTATGGCAAGTCCATTGATTGGGGTAACCTGGAAAATCAGGGTCAGATATGATCTACTTCCACAGAGTACAGTGCAATTCTACTCCGGCACACATGGGGTCGCCATGGGTCAGAATTGGCTTTGTAGCTTTTAGGATTAAGGAAGAAAGGAATAAAGATGGGTCTTGAAAATTTAGAAGGTTTGGGTTAGGTATGGGAGAAAGCAAGAATCTTTTTTTTTGCAGCATAAAATCTACAGCAACAGTTCATTTGCTGCCCACCCCTACTCATTCCTGTGCCTGTGGCAGACATAACTAATCTATCCCTAAGTTCAGGCATGAGATTGCAATCCTTCTCAGTCAGAGACAACAGACCAAAACCAAAAACTCACTGCCATCAAATCAAGGCTCTGACTCATAGTGACCTTATAGGGCTGAACTGAACCTATAGGGTAGAACGGCCCCTGTGGATTTCATGACATTGTATCTCTTTATAGAAGTAGAACGCCTCTGTGTCCTTCAGAGTGGCTGGTGTGGTTTGGATGGTTCGCGTGGTTAGCAGCCTAATGCATAACGCACTACACTGCCAGAGCTCCTTAGAAACAACAGACAGCTGCTTCCAATTAGGTGTAGTTGGTGTGCTGAAGAAAACCAATCTCCTCCCATGAGAAATTGGGTCATTTATGTCATGGATGGAGAATGGTCTCAGCAGGTGGAGAGGGCAGGGCCGAAGTGGCTCTCGGGTTTCTGAACTGGACAGCTGATGGTACCATTGGTGAAAACTGGAAGTAGAGAGATCAGATCTGTGTGGAGGGCTTTGCATGCAAATCTGTGTACATTTTAAAACTTTTTATTGTGAATTTGGTGAAAGTTTACAGAACAAATGGATGTTCCACTTAGTAATTCCTGCAGATTTTGATTCATGACATTGATTGTAATCCCCATGGTGTATCAGAAGAATATGAGATGCTGTGGAGATCCCTCCGTCATATATTTGGTTGCGGGTCAAGAAAGAGGTCTGGATTAGTAATATGAATCTGGTTGCCATCAGCATGGGGAGGGCAGTTGATGTGGGAGTTGACGTTATCCCAGGAAAATGTATAGAATTAGCAAATAAAGGGCCAAGTAGTGACCTCGAGGAAACAGAGGCCAAATGCTCTGCAGAAAAGTTTCAGAAGCAATCCAGAGAAGGTGGGTTGTGGGAACTGGGGGAAGAGGTGGTTCCAAGAATGAAGGAGGCATTGGCAATGGGCATGGCCATGCAAGGCGAGGCTGGCATTCCACAGTGAACTTTAACAACGGGAAGACCCAGACTGTACTACGGTGCACAATTGAGGTCAAGGAAGGAGGAGGAGATTTCGGCTGCAGGATCTTTTCCAGAATCTTAGCTGTGGAAGAAAGGAGAGAGAATGGCGTGTCAGGACCAATGGGTAGGGGTGGAGACTGCTAGGACAGAAAAGACATGAACAGAATTTCAAGTGGAGGGGAAAGAGCCGGGAGAAGATGATTTGCAATATAGGTAGGGAGGGTAGGTGGGCCCGCCTGGCATGGACACGCATCTGTTTCCCAGAAAAGGAAAGAGGTGTGAATGTGGCTCCTGAGAGAGCGGCAAAACCCCTCGGAATGTGAAGATGCTAAGGTGCTACCGCCCTGTAGACTTTATCTTCCCTGTAAACAAGGTCAGTGTATCCTCCGAGAGGGACAGGCAAAGTGAGATTTTCTGGCTGTCCCCTGAAACACCTGGCAAGTTACAAAATGACTAATGAACAAATTAGAAGGTGCGTGCAACCTCCCATGAGCCACCCTTCACTAAATCTCAACCTAAAACCCACACTGAGTAAGGAACTGTAACAGCCACAGGCTGATAGTCCCAAGTGTTGGCAAGAACATGGCGCAACTGGAGCTTTCCTGCTCTAAGGGTGGGAACGTACAATGGGCAGTCACTGTGGAAAATTCTCTTAGGTAGAGCTTCGTAAGGCTAGGCAGATGTCCATTGTTCTGTGGTTCATTTGCTCCACACCTGAGCAGAAACCCAACAGCACTGGGGGTTTGTGTCCACCAAATGGCATTGACCAGAATATGCAAAATCACTCCAAACTGGAAATCAGCCAGTGTTCTCAGCAGCAGAATAGGTCAAGGGGCTGTGGTGGCCCAGCATGACAAAGGAATAACTGGGATAGATGTCCCAAAGAGGATCAAGGCCACAAGGGTGGGAGTGGAGAAAATCAGACACAAAAGAGCGCCATGCATTTTTAAGGGGGCAGAGGTTAGGCTAACGGTTACCTTTGGGGAAACTTACCAGGAGGGGCACCAAGGAGCTTCTGGGAGGGCAGCCCAGGTTCTGTAGCTTGGTTTTTGCCTTTTTTTTTTAAGCAATGGGAAGAGAAGTCTATAAAGATGCAAGTTTTTTTCATGCCATTTGTGTTAGTCTGGGTACTTTAGAGAAACAAATCCACGGAAACTCGTGTGTAAGAGAGAGTTTTATATAAAGGTTAAGTGCACATCCCAACCTAGTGCTGCTCAAGCCCACAAGTTCAACATTAGCCCATTTGTCCGACACCAGTCCAAAAAGTCCTCCTCCATCTCACAAAACACACACCATGACGCCAACTGCAGGAGGAAAGCTGAGTCAGTGAATTTGTAAGCATCTCAGCGCTGGCAGGGGTCTCCACACGGCTGCTCCAGCACCCAGGGCTGCATCGGGGTAGGTCCATGTGGCTTCTCCTTGGATGTCTTGCAGGAAGTGAGCCTTGCCAGCTGAAGCAGGGAACTGCTAAGGCAGCTGCACCCTGCACCCATCAGAAAGCAAGAGACCTGAGAACTAGAAAGGCTAGGCTCACCAAGCCATGTATCTCTCTGACCTTCAATTAACCCCACATGTGTTTATCATCCAGGTTGGCCCAATAAACTAGCTCACCATTCTTTTAAGATCTATGTACTTTAGCATATATACCGTAGTCTGTCGCACCTCCCCCTGCTCATCAAATGGTCCCTGCCCACCAGCTGCTCCCCAGGAGAACGATGTGGCTGTGTGCTCCCACACAGATGCCAGCCTGAGAAGACAGGACTCAGAGTAGACTCGACAACAGTGGGGTTTGGCTTGTTTGTTTGTTTTTAAATGTTGCTCCCTGGGAATTGTTAGAGTAGAACAAGCGCTATTTATTTATTTGTTTGTTTGCCTTCTGTATTAACAGCTCCTTTTCCACCCACTATTTTCTGGGTATTCGCAAAATGCAATCGGCCCTTTAATACCTGCCTGACAGAGAGAGGGCAAGATGCATCTCTTTTTTAATTAAAGTTTGATATATTTTGCACAGCGGCTCTGTCTTTGGGGCCTCTGTTCTATTTCAGAGCAGATTTCTAACTTTTCTATCGACAAACAGATTGATCCTGTACGGGGCAGAAGGTCAAAAAAACAATCTCACCTCCTTGTGCCAGCGGCTCGGCTGCCTTTTGGAGGGCTTTGTGCTGGGGGTGGGGTGCATCTCCACCGCCCAGAGACAGCCCCTCATCGTCCTTCTGGGCTTTCACAGCCTGCCCTCGCCCTGCGCCCCGCTGTGGTGGGTGTCACCCCACAGTGAGTGTGCACTGGGGAGCTGTCTGCAAGGAGGGCTGGCCGTGGACAACGAGGTGGTAGAGAAAGGCTTTGGAAGCAGAATGAGAATCACCTGAGACAATACTTCACCTGCAGGGCCCCGAGGCCCCGAGTGCAGTCTGCACTTGATACGAACCTGGAAAGGAGCCCACTGGTCACACACTGGTTGTAAGTGGTTGGCTGTTAACTGTAAGGTCAGCGCTTCCAACCTTGGCTCTGTGAGGGATGAGAACTGGCCGTCTGCTCCCAAAAGGCTGCTAACCTTGTCGACCCTGCAGGGCAGTTCTGTCCTGTGCTATCAGGGCTCTTTGAGTCAGAACATCAGTCCACCCCATGGTATTGCAGAAGAAAGAGCTGGCGATCTGCCTGCATAAAGATGAGGAGGAGGAGAACCGTGTGGGGCAGGTCTACTCTGTAGCACTCCAGGCAGAATCCACCCAGGAGCACTGGGTTTGGATGTGGATTCAGTGGTGGGTGAGGTCGGTTTATGAGTGAAAGACAAAAGGACTCAATTTGCATAGCCTAGGGTAAGGAGGACAGAGTTTGGGGGTGTTCTGATAGCTGCCTGGAGTGGTAGGAAGGCATGCCCATGAGGGACTGGAGTAGGAGGCTCAGAGTAGCTGGGAGGAGGGTGCCCAAAGCCTGTGATCGCTATAGCTGCCGTCACCAGAAGTCCCCCTCCAGCTGTCTCTGGCAGGAAGGTAAACCGTTCAAGTCAGTTCCTGGGTGTAGACCTGTTGTCACTGATGTTCAGTCACCTGGATTCAATCTGTCACCGTTTGGGTCCTTCAGAAAATGATTCCGAGTACCCACTCTGGACGCCTCTCCATCCAGATAGAGCAGGATGGTGCTGGGCTGAGCAGGACAGAAAGGGTCTCTGTCCTTAGGGAGGATGCATCCTAGCAGGGGAAGAGAGAGTAAGAAACTCGGATACTAATATTAAACAAGACATCCTCGGATGATGGGAGAGCCGGGAAGGCAGTAGAACAAGGCAAGAAACAACGAGTCTCAGAGAGTCAGTCGGACACGGGAGCCACTTTCAGCAAAGGGTCCCAACCAGTCAAATAAACATTTAGGGCCAGACTGTCCCAAGAAGCAGGGACAGCAAGTGCAGAACCTGGGGCCTAGAGAAAGGAAAGGGAGTGGACATAGCTGGCTGTAGCCTCCCAGGAAGAAGGAGGAGGAGTCGGCATGGTTGGCTGTAGGCCCCGTGGAAGGGGCATGAGGGTGTCAGGCTGTATGGGTCTATGGACCATGATCACTTTTACCCCAAGGGGGAGAAGGGTAGGCCCCATGCATAGATGTCCAAGAGCAGCAGATACAAACACACAGGCTAATAGAGATGTTGTGCGCCGGTTTAAAATGGGCCTGTGCTGTCTTCCTGCAGCATCCCTCCCCAGTGTCATCTTCCTTTCCCTAACAGTCACATGAATTTACATTCCCGGAGCATAGACTAGCCAATGGATGCAGTCTACTGCCCTAGAGGTCTGTTGATTGGCAAGGAGGAGGCTGCGGAGCCGAGAAAATCAGGCCTGTCTAATCTACATTGTGAGTGAGTGGCGCTAGTCATTGAAAAGCCAAGTTCCAGATGAAATGAATCAGGAGAGAGCAACACCAGCTAGGAGATTAGAAGCCTTGGGTCCTTTGATCTTCCCAGAATTCCCCGAGTATCTGAGAATCAGGACTAGCAGGCTTATGTTCCTGCTGCCTTGTATAAGAGGCACAAAGGAAATAGGTTTATGCCAGTTATTCCCCAAGAATCACACAACATGCTGATTTGATGCATGATGCTTCCTTAGGAGGAACAGAACTGGTTCAAACATTGTCTTTACAGACTGCTGAGTTCTGGAACCCAAGGGAGAAATCGCTACCAAACTTGTCCACAGCACTCCCTCGCCTAATTAAAAGAGGGGAGCAAAGACCCAGACCCTATTGAGTCTTCTTACCGATTAACCTCAGAAGCACACAGCATATCACTGGTTGATGACACTGACCTTCCAGTTCACCTGGCTTTGCCTCACCTTTGTTGCCTCATCGCTTGTGTGAATTTTCTGTGATTGTACAATGTCTGTGTGTGTGTGCGTGTGTTATTGTTTGAAGTGAACTTGTGGGTCACAAGACTCCAAGTCCATTGCAGTCTCACTCTCCTCCTCTTTTCTTTAAGCCACTCTTTAGACCACGGTGTAGGTTTCAGGGCTAAGAAATCTGGAGGGTGTACAATGTCTTAGGCTGGGCTCTCTAGATAAATAAAGCCAGGAAAGCTTATACATGCATATAGAGAAAGATTCATCTCGGGAAATAACTCCTGAAGTTGTAGAGGTGGGAAGATTCCAAACCCATGGGTCAGATGTTAGGCTGCAGGTTTCTCCTAAATCACGTAGCTACAGATGTTGATGAACTCAAGATAGGCAGGTCAGATGGCAACCTGCTGGCTGTGGAGGCAAATGGATCCGAGGTTGGCTGGTAAGAGGGCAAATTGCTAACTCGGGCTGTAGAGACTAAGGCATCCCAGGGTCAGTAGGCAGTGTGACAAGCAGCTGGCTCAAGTCCTAAGAGCCAGAGGTCAGGTGATGATGATTCAAGTGCCAGATCTAGATCCCCCCAAAGCAGGAGAACTTTGCAAGAATATTCCTATTATTAGAAGCAGGTGACAGCCCTGAGTAAGCTCCCTTTCAATCGAGTGACTGCTCTTGCTTGATCTCATCTTGGAGGTTATTATATCAGATTTCAACATGAGGGACAACTACATTAGAACTGCCAAACCACTGAGAATCATGGCCCAGCCAAGTTGACACACAGCCTTAACCATCAATCACAGTGACTCACTCAGCATAATAGGTATGTGCACCGAGGCTCATTGTGATGTGTTTTATATATCTGCCTTCTGTAATTCTATAAGCGCATTAGGGCAAAAGTAGAGAGATGATAGATAGATAGATAGATAGATAGATAGATAGATAGATAGATAGATAGATAGGTGATGGATGGATGGATAGATAGATAGATAGATAGATAGATAGATAGATAGATAGATAGATAGATAGAGGTAGAAAGAAAGCTCGTTGGCTGTCCTGGAGTGCTAGTGTGGTATGGTGGTACGCTCAACTGCTAATCTAAAGGTTAGAATTTCATTTCCATCCAAAGATGGTGTCTTAGAAGACAGGCATGGTGACCCACTTCTGAAAAACCGGTCTTTGACAATTCTAGTTTGGATTCTCAGAGAAACAAAACCAGTGGCACGCGTGTGAATAGAGAAAGAGATTTCTATCAAGAAATGGCTACCCGGTTGTAGCAGTTGTTATGCCAGTCTGGTTCAAGTCTGTAGGTCAGATGGAAGCTTCCCCTGATGCGTGTAGCTGCAAAACCTGATGAACAAGAAGCAGGAGGACGAAGCAGGAGGGCTACAGATGGCGGGTGCAGAGCTGAGTGAACCCGAGGTTGGCCAAACCTATTTGAAGTTGGCAGTCCACTGGTGGCTCCTGAGATCTGCAGGCGCTGTAACAGAAGGCGAACCAGACACAGGGTCCAGATCTCGAAAGAGCAAGAGGGAGCTTGAATCTGCTCAGGGCCTCTCTTACACAATGGCCACACCCCCACAGAGATGTCATCAAGCTAAGAGCTGATTGGTAGATTGGGCTCTACCCAGCTGTGCGACATTTGACATAAATTCTAACCATCACGACGGTCCCACAGATCACAGTTCTACTTGGACACACATGAGGTTGCTATGAGCCAGAGTCTAGTTGGCAGCAATTGGGCAGAAATGGTGGTCGTTTTCAGTCATCACTGAGTTGATTCCAACTCATGGTGGCCTCATCTATGGAGAGTAGAATGACCCCATGGGATTTCCATGGCTGTGACCTTTCAGAATCGGATCACTCGACCTTTCTACTGAGACTCTTCCAGGTGGGTTCAAACCTCCAGCCTTTGGCTTAGTACACGAGCACTGAAACATCTGTGCCCAAGGATTTGGACAGAGAATTGGCCCAGATCAAACACTCCAGATTACTGTGGAGGGAGTGACGGGGCTGCCTGGGGCCCCCTCTTGTGGTTGGCCACTTCTCTTCCTACTCACGCTCCCCCACTCTGCGCTTGTTCCAGGAATGACTGCGATTCCATGCGCCTGCCTGGGAATCTTCCTGGGCGGTCTCCTGGTGAAGAAGCTCAGCCTGTCTGCGCTCGGCGCCATTCGGATGGCCATGCTCGTGAACCTGGTGTCCACGGCTTGCTACGTCTCCTTCCTCTTCCTGGGCTGTGACACGGGTCCTGTGGCTGGAGTTACTGTTCCCTATGGAAACAAGTAAGTTCCAGAAACGTCAAGCTCGGCTCTGCCCCCGCCTCCCGGACACCAGGACTTCCTGCCAGGGGTTGGTGTGAGTGCCACCAGCTTCGTCCCCAGTGGCCATGACTGGAAGAGACAAGGCACAGCTGCATCTGACTCCCGGGCGGGAGGGGGATCTCGATGTCCCCAGGGACCGACCGATGGACAGGACCCTCGCCCAGAGCAGCCAGGAGTGCCGGGGAGACAAAGTCAGATGATGTTTGGCGCTGGGCATTAGGAAGGATATGAATGTAGAAAAGGACAATAAGTTTTATTGTAAAATTCAGCCTACAATAGAATATGGAATGTTACCAATCCTTTAAAATATCCGAAGCTGTCATTAGACTCACAGTCAGATCTCAGGGTGTGGTCCACGTCTGCTTCTGATAGTCCAGGGGGCCCAGACAGAGGGCGATAAGGAGTCTGCAGGAGGGAGAAACAGAGGAAGGAAGGAAGATAGTCCTTCATTCTTATGGTACACATTATGTACATCTGAGCAGGTAGCTCACCCTGTCTATGCCCCCACTTCCTTACCTGTAAACTCTTCCTTACCTGTAAACTCGAGACTACGGCTGCACCCACTCCATGGGGTGAGACCACGTGAGTGCAGAATGCATGCCGCTCCTTGGACAGGGCCAGCACAGCCATTGTCAGGTCCCGGTGGTCTTCCTCCTCTGTATGCCTGTGAAAAGCCTCCGGACCCTGGCAGGTTTTATTCAAAAGTCTCCGAGGTGAAGGAGACGCCTGTTCATCTTGAGTCCGAGAAGATGCCTCCTCGCCCTTGCCTCCCTCTCAGCCCCCTGGTTCTAGGCTAGGGGCTGTGCCTTTCATGATGCAGAAGAGCCTCTGAACCTCTCCGTGAGGTGGTTCTGTGGAATGCTGGCTCCTTCTCCCTGCTCACCTGGTGCTTATGGGCAGGGCACAACCTGCGCAGCTCTCTGGCCAGTCCTTGTAGGACAGCGAGGATTCAAACGAAATGGTGAAGGAATGGGGCCCGGGTCAGGACTCCACAAGCACAGACACGAACGTGATGCTTCCTGGCAAGGGGCCGGGGCAGAGGGCTGTTGAAGGGAGGGTCCGCTTGGATGAGCCTGTCTGATGGGCTGCATCTCTCCGTTCTTTTCCAGCTCGGCGCCCGGCTCAGCCCTGGACCCCTACTCGCCCTGCAATAAGAACTGTGAATGCCAGACCGACTCCTTCACCCCAGTGTGCGGAGCCGATGGGATCACCTACCTGTCTGCCTGCTTTGCTGGCTGCAACAGCACGGTACCAGTGACTTCCTGATTTGGGGGTTGGGGGTGGGACAGGGGACCCCCAGCAGCCAAAGTAGCTTTTTACAGCCCAAGGCCAGGGCTAGGTTGGTGAGGGGGGAACCATGTGTGCGCCATTCAGTATTCTCCTGCCCCGGGTCATTTTCTGAGCATCGGCCCTGATCTAACAGAGAGCTCTGTCGCAGTGGGGGAAGACGAGGCAGCCACTCAGTGTAACCACTGGCTAAATCAAGTGGCTGACTTTCCGAGGGACTTCATTCGCCGCATGACAGTGAAAAGTCCCCTACACACGTGTACCAGGGAAGCTGTACACATGGAGCCAGGGAGAAAGGTTTCAATCCAAGGCACTCAGAAAGGGTCTGGATGGAATGAGAGGCCTCTACAAGTGGTGAGCTCCCCAGCACCAGAAGTATGACAACCATTTGTCAAGGCAGAATTCTCTCAAGCCTAAGAGTCCCTGGCACTAACTCCGTCCTTACTCAATTCCCTCTACTATTTCTTCCCAACTGGATGCCGCCCGCCTTTTCCTAGTCCCTCGGCACACTTTTATGAATGTGCCTATTATTACCACTTGTGCCTTCCTAGCATGAATTTTACAATGGCAGATGCCCGTGGCATTCTGGGTACTCTCTTCATGAAAACTGCGACTGAGAACTGGCCCCTCCAGCACGTTGCTCCCACCTGAGCAGTCGGTCTTCTTGCACCTGTTTTTGCACTGCATTCAGATGAGGCTGGCGAAGGGGTCCCATGCGCCTGCTTGGACTAGTGCAGTAGCCACCGAACCAGCCTCCGGGCTCTGGGTGGCCCGCTCAGGGTCTGTCTTCTACTCTGTCACCAGACTGCTCTCCTAGCATGGCCAAGGAGAGGTCCCAAAGGTGCCCCAAGTGTTGCACACTCTGTTATCAGCTAAAAGGTGGGTGGGCAAATCCTCTCAGCGTTACTTTGGAAGAAAGGCCTGCTGCCTGTCTCCTACATGTCACAGCCTTGACACAAATGTGCTCGGCAGCTCCCGGGCCTGCCCTGAGTCTGGATTGGTGCACGGCAACTGGTTGGGGCTTTTTGGTATTTTCCCATCCAAGTAGTCAGCAGGCCTGGCCCTGCTTAGATTCCAAGATCAGACGAGATCGGGCACATTCAGTGGGTATGGCCGTAGACAGGTTTTTTGGTATTCTTTCAGTTGTAGTGGTTGTTTCAAAGGGACACGGAGATTCTTGGACGTCAGAATCAACTTGAAAGCATTTTTTTCTTTTTTTTCCCAATGCTACTCTGTCAACCAGAAGATGAGAGGTAGTCATCCTGATTAGCATGTCTCTGCCTTCAGCCTTTCTGTGCGACTCCCCTGGTCCAGCTCCCCTGCTTTGTGCTTGGGGCATTCAGCGTTCCTGGAACCCGTAGCCTCATGATTTCCCCTTGGCGGGGCTGATGGGTTGGGATCACTGACTTCGTAGTCCGCAGCCCAAGGCTGAGCCCACAAGGACCGGGTACATGCCGATGTGACCCAGGAATGGAAGGACGATGCAATGAAGGCTGAGTGGCTGCTTTCGGGGTGGATTTATTCATTTCCCCTCTTTCCACATCCCGCATTTTTTTCTGGAGGGCGGGCGGAGGGGGACACAAATAATTTCCCTGAGGAGAAGAAAAATGGATCATTTATTTTCATCTTCTAAGATTTTGTTTGCCCTTGCTTTTAGTATTTAGATTCCTGGCCAGTTAATAAGAGCCTTCTATGGAGAAAATAAATCACCATGGGGTTTACGGGGGGCGGGGGGGGGGGATTTATAAAAAATTAGATTATCAAGCACTTTCCTTATATGAATAGAAGTGATTTTTTTTTACGATGGGGCCTTGAGAACATTTAAAATTAAACCACAAGCTATTATTTTTCATGACAACAATTTCATTAGCGTTTTAAATACAAAAGCATGGTGATTATAAATGGGTCTCCATTCTTGTCCTGTCCCAGGAATGAAATTGACCCAAGGGAGACTGGTGTCCTGAGACCAAGCCAGGCTTTATTTCACAGAATGCCCTGAACAGCAGCAACAAAAAGTATCTTAAACACTGCATTTCCCCCCAAATTGCATGTACAAGTCTCATTGAATAAGAGCCTAATCAGGCCCGTGGCTGCTCCCGGCTGCTGAGACAGCAAAGCTGCAGAATGCAATTACTGGATTTCCAACTCCTCAGCTCACCTCAAACATACCCTTTATTCCCCAGACACCTGCCTTTTCTTCACATTGCCCGAGACCCCGCAGTGTCTCCCGGAGGGTGCAGGCAGGAGGTGATTCTGCTGCAATTATAAGGCGGAGGGTCCGAAACCCCAGAGCTGCTGTGGGAGACGGTGGGGTCGGGCTGACGTTCCCTGCGCACAGACACCGCGCTCCAGAGACCCTGGCTGCCGGTGACAGCAGGGCCCAGTGACGGGTCTGCCTCCGAAACAGCCACAGCCGTGACACTGAGTAGCAACAGCAAGCTCTGTCAAGAACCTGTCACAGGCCAGGTAGCGAGGGCTTCCACGTGTCCCTAACAGCTCACGGCAGCTTGATCCATGGTCAGAAGCCTCTCAGGCCAACACCCCACACCCAGCAAAAATCTTTCAGATCTTTGCTACAAGGTTTGGAGAAATTGTCAAGTGTGGAGTATATCCTGGAATGGTCGCTCCCCTTTCCCCCCTCTTTTCCTGCCTGTCTCGTCTCCACACATCTCAAACGCCATCTGCCACCGACTAAATGCGACTTCTCCCCCTCCTTCCACTCTCCTCTGCCTCGCCCGGGCCCCACCAGTTCCGGCATCCACACCCTTTGCCCCGTTTGTCATTCTGTCTTGTCATCTTTCCACCCACCTTTTGAAGTCCTGATTGCTCTTCTCCCCTGCCTCCGGACTTCTTCACGGGCACGTAGCAGAAAGTGGCAGAGCCCGCCTGTGCACACAGGGTCCACCTGGCACCAAAGGCAGTGTCTACCATCTGCCTTCAGCAACTTCACCTTTTAGGAGGAAAGTTCTGCTTAGAGCGCTTCCTTTGTATGCAACAACCTCTTCCTACCTGATCTGCGTAGCTGAGACCTCCCCTCCAGCCCTCACGATCTTGCCCAGGCTGCCCCTCCAGCCTTGGTCACACCATTCCCCCGCATGTCTTCTCGCAACTACTGGCTCTACCGAACACCTCTCAGTTCCCACCACACACCCAGGCTCTGCCTGGCCACCGGGCCTGCCCACATCCCATTCTTTCCCTTGCAGCAGCCGAACAGAACCGGTTCCACTGGAGTCTGCTGACTCCTGGTGAGCCCAGGGGGGTCAGAGTCGAACTGTGTGCTATTGGGTTTCCAGAGTCTGGGTTTTGAAAAGTAGATCATCGGGCCTTTCTTGGGAGGCACCTCTGGGTGAACCGGAATGGCCAACCTTCCAATTAGTAGTCAAATGCTTGACTGTTTCCACTCCTCAAGCACATTACCCCTGTGTGGAGGGTTCTTCTCCTCTGTCTTCTGCTTCCTCTGGGAAACCTCCCACCATGTCATTTCCTCTGAGTCTTCATTGCCCCAGCACCTGTTCTCACCCTGCCCAGTACTTACCCAGATGTGCCACCAGCATCCTTAGAGAGGGTTCTGTGGTAGATGGTTAGGTGTGCATTGCCAGTCATGGCTCTGACCAGAGACCCTATGCCTTCTGAATGCTTGGCTAGTGCCCTTGTGCTGATCTCAGGGAGCCCCAGGGAGCCAAAGTCCATTAATAGCCACAGGCAGGCCGTTAGGTTAGACAGTGCAAATTCCAATGCTAGGAATACCACCCCTGCTCATCTGGCACTGCTTAGGGCTTCCAGCAAGGCTCGCCAAATTGCTGATGATTTGATGAGGTTTGAATAAATCACCGATCAAATAATTCTGACAATTGGGAAATGTGGTTAACAGTAGGAAGTTTCTAATATTAGACTTAGCTTCTTGGTTTAAAAAAAATGATGATGATTTTCCTGTTTCATAACTTCTTGAATGATAGCAGTAGATATTGCCAGGATTGCATTTAATACACGATTTCCAATTCGAGGCAGGAGGGGTGACAAAAGTTAATTTTGTAAGCTTCCTTTAGCAGGAGTATGTTGCCCAGATTGTTTCTGTACCCTTTCGCTTTCTGAGGTAATTATTCCAGCAGAAAGTATGTTAGCATGCTACTGACTGACTGTGGAAGTTGTCTCCTTTTGATGTACTGAATAATTGACTTTAAAAAAAAAGAGGAAAAAAAGCCACCAATACAATGTTGAAAATCTCATATGAATCCAGCACAGCAGCTAGTAGGGGGTTAATATTAACAACTAATCGACCCCTCTCTCCAAGCAAGAACCAACCCCACTGCTGTCCAGTCAGTCCTGACTCTACAGGGCAGAATAAAACTGCCCCATGGTGTTTGCAAGGCTGGAATCTATGGAAGCAGACAGCCACATCTTCCTCCCACAGAATGGCTCATAGTTTCGAACCACTGACCTGTTGGTGAGCAGCCAAGCTCTTTCAACCAGTGTGCCACCAGGGCTCCCTGATTCAGGCAATGAAGATTTATGGGGCATCTACTGGAGGAGCTTCCTAGAAGGAAGGAAGATGACTCTTCTGCATACACGATGGGAAAACCCAACCACTGTCCCACAGTCAATTCTGATTCATAGCAACCCTGTGGGACCAGGTAGTACCGCCCTGGTGGGCTTCTGAGGCTATACGGCTTTATGGGAGCAGAAAACCACATCTTCTTCCTGGGGAGTAGCTGGTGGGATGGAACTCTTGACCTTGTGGTTCACATCCCCACACGTAATCCACTATACCACCAGAGCCTCTTTTTTTTATTTTAATCATTTTATTAGGGGCTCATACAACTCTTATCACAATCCATACACAAATCAATTGTGTAAAGCACATTTGTACATTCATTGCCCTCATCATTCTCAAAACATTTCCTCTCCACGTAAACCCCTGGCGTTAGGTCCTCATTTTTCCCCTCCCTCCCCACTCCTCCCTC